ATATATATATATATATATATAGTATATATATATATGTATTTTCTTCATTACCCTTCAAGCCGTCTCCAACCATTATTAATATTAACTAACATTTTTATTTTTTTCATAGAAACTAGATACTATAAAAGTTTGTAACTAAGTTTCATGTAACTTGGTAAGTATTTTAGAACAAAAAACAACAACATAGGATATAAGAGATACCCATCTCTCTTGTCTGTGAAAGGTTCAAATACTTTTCATATTAGCCAACCCTGACAATGTGACCATACTACAACTTAGCTATGTTATACACATTTTCCTCTATGGTTCCACTAAATAGCTGCAATGTATTTAACACTTACTCTCTCCTGGTACATAGCTGTAATCATCAAGACCAAGCATAAAGTCAGCCAGGGTTGTCTGATTACGTCCGGACACAGCTCCCATCATCTGATTCATTACTTCCTTCATAACAAACAAAAAAATATACTCAAAATATTGAAAACAGCATATGTTTTCAAGACAAAAATGATAAAACTGCATGCATATGTAATAAATTCAATGTTGTAGAGGCAAAATTATTGCATCTTACAAATTATGGTGCTTATTAATGGGATGAATTATCTACACTTCTTGTAAGTTAAAAAATGACAATAACATTTATTGTCATCACTTTTATACAATAATAAATAAAAACATCTATAAAACTCAAGACTGTAGCCTATACATGTGTATAAATGTTTTTTTTTCTTCTTTTTATATATTCAAACAAGTCCAGTCAGGTAGAAGTAAAAGTGTGTTAGGAATCGACAGTAAAAATACATTTGTAATGTATAGCACTTATACACCACATCAACTATAAAAATTGAAACTTAAGAGTAAAAACCACATAATAAACAAATAAATATCCAATAAATTCAAGATCTTCAAGGTACTTCACCCCACACAAAAAAGTAAGATTTTGGAAAGGAAAGGACTCATAAAACTGTTAAATGAAGTTTGTATCTAAAATTATAACTATTAACAAAACCAACAGAAAAGAATAAACGTTTTATATAGTGCTAGTCAACCAGCAAGACATAACATCAAAAGTATATATTGTTTTACAATGATGCTACCTGTACTAGATTGGTTAGCGTGTCATCGGTTCCTACAGTCCGTCTGTTAGTTCTCTCTGACTGAGGCTGTGTGCCAGCAGGAGCACTCTGATCCATTGTTGTCTGTCTAGCAGGAGTTGCCTGTGTAATTTTGAAACACATATTGAACATTTATAAGCAAAAATACATAAATACATAACAATAAAATATAGAACAATGTATACTGTAACTTATCTTCACTAACCAACAATAATTTTTTAAATTTACTGAAAAGTAAGTACCAAATTCACACATCTCTTTAGTTTAGAAAAAATGAATTTCATAAAACCATGAAACATAACTGATGTGTCAGTTAAAAGTAACAGTTCTGTTTCTATAGTTGTAATTTTTGAATCTCTTCTAACATGAACACAAATAGTAACAATGTTTGGAATAATATGAGTAACAGAAAGTATATAACAAGACAAAACAAATAAACACAATAACTGACTACTTTACAAAACTTACAGCTCTTTATATTGCTTTATCAGAACTGGAACACAAAGATAAAAATATCTTAATAGCTGACACAAAGTCTAATCTATCAAAAAATTAATCTTTCTGTCATTACACATTTATCGAAAGCTGTACTTTATCTAATACTGTATCCATGCATACTAAGTAATAATATTACTTTTATAAATGAGGGTCATATTGAGAAAACACTAAACAAAATGCAAAGTTTTGACATCTTTGATTATAAAAAACTTATAATGCTCAATAATATTTAAAATTACTTTTAACTCATCATTAGAGAGAAAACAAATTTTAAACACTCATGAATAACTTACTGATGTACATTTGATATGCTGATAATAATAATAAAAGCGTCTTTTTTAAGGCTCAAAATATTACAGCTAAAAATACTGAAAACAATATTGGCTACATTCTTTATCATTTAAGAAATAAAATACACAGAAGAGAAAAAGGTTACTTCAAGCTAAGAATCCAAAAATGTCTTCCTTCCAAAAGTACTGACATTATTGGACATGTGATTTACAATATATTTTTACTTTTTTTTTTTATTTAGAGATTAACATATTCGTACAAGTTCTAGATTTGAAATGATTTTAAAATTAATATTTTCTGTGTAAACAGTTACTTCTCTGTGCCTAATACAAAATAGTTAGAATTCTTCCAGTATACCTGATTTGTATTAGGAATTTGTCTATAGAAATGTTCCAAAAGCTGTGCCATAGGAGGCCCAGCATGCAGTCCTTGGGAGCCACTTGTGTGAATGTGAAACCCTTGAGGACCAGCAGGGCTACTTCCTGATGAAAATACTGTAAATCCTGACTGACTAGTAGAGGTCTGGCCTGTGGGTGGTGGTCCATCTGAAAAATAACCAAGGATTACACTATCAGTTTTGTGAATGAAACTATATACACATTTATATAAGATACATTAATGGTTGGAACTGTTTTATAACCACCAAAATGGTGATGGTCCGGGTAGTTCAATATTATCTGATAGCTTATTTTTGAAGATGTTTTCACAATTGTTGTTTCCTCAAAAGGATGCAAAGGTAGTAGTGCATGACCTCTTTATACAGTATGTTCACCTGCTACAAGTTCAAAACATTATCATTTTGTTTTTTATAGGGCAGGAGGAATAATTGGTTCATCATATGTTACTAATACCACTAACTTTAATGCTAAGCTTACCCCTCACAAAAAGAAACACACACACATTTCTTCTATTAAAAAAAAAACACAAAACAATAAAAAAGTAAAACTTTTAGCAATAACCAGTTTGACAAATATCTTAAGTTCTATTAAAAAAATCTGTTTAGCAGCTAACTCTTGGGCTACTCTTTTACTAATGAATATTGGGATTGACCATCATATTATAACGCCCCCATGGCTAAAAGAGCAAGCATGTTTGGTGTGACGGGGATTCGAACCTGCAATCCGCAAATTGCAATTGAGCGCCCTAACCACCTGGCCATGCTGGGCCGAAATTTTCATGCAATGCTGCCCAAGGGTTATCTGAACATAGCAGTCTCAAATTTTGAACTGACAGACTAGATAGAAAGAAGGCAGCTCATTAACAGTATCCACTGTCATCTCTGGGGAAACTCGTTTAACCAAATAATACTATTTGGTTATCACTCTTATAATGCCCCCGTTTTCCCAAAGTTCCAAGGATGCTTTTGCTGTGATAGTTTCATGAACTCTTGGTTAACCATCCAGACACATTAACCACTAGGCTATGCCCAGCTCACTCTAGAAACACAAAGTCTACACCTGGAATATACTTAGATGCTACTGAAAGTTAGAGAACTTCCACCATTTTTCAGTTTTGTTAGTTAATCTTAATGATAATTCAAAGATTATAACAAAACTCTACACCTGGAATATACCTTGATGCTACTGAAAGTTAGATAACTTCCACCATTTTTCAGTTTTGTTAATTAATCTAACTGATAATTCAAAGATTATAACAAAAGTCTACACCTGGAGTATACCTTGATGCTACTGAAAGTTAGATAACTTCCATCATTTTTCAGTTTTGTTAATTAATCTAACTGATAATTCAAAGATTATTTGATTTACATTTAATAAGCTACTGACAAAATAGGTATTCCTAAACAATATTCGTAGAAGTGTTAGTTACTGACTAAAACTGACTTTTATAATGAAAAAATTATTAAAGACTGATAAATGTTTAGATTTCATTACATCAAAACTAGTTAACAACAACAATTACTACACAAATGATGGTGCAGTTATAGCTCACTGATATCAATAGTAACTAGTTAACATTTAAATATATGAGGAATACAAATGTATTATTTAAAAAATATAAAAGATCAACACTTATCTAGTTTTTTTTGTTAAGAGTGCTTGTATGCAAGACTATTAAAATATAATATTTTCAGATTTTTTTTTGTTATTCATGTGCAAGACTTCAAGATATTTTTAATGATGTCAAATTAAAAACCTCACCACGACTATGGAAGGAGGGTTGACTAAAAACAGAGTTCATTAATCCTCCAAGAAACTGATGAAGGTGCTCATCTCCTTGCCTCGATGAACTACCAGTGGTAACCTTATAAAGAACAATTTAAACAAAATCATTCAAACATCAACTCTTCGCCGTTTCGTCTAAATTGTATTATCGTCTTTTTCACCAACATGCTAAAGAAGGGAAGGAAACCTTTACTATATTTTAATGAACTTTATATAAAAACACAGTAGGTATTTCTGTTAAGTTTGAGGCTTATTAATAACAAACTATGTTTAATTACATCTTACCTTTTCTTTTATACATACAACAGCAGAAGTTTTAATTAATCTCCCACCAATATGACTGCTATGCTTTAGTGACACTGATCACAGATGGAGATATTATTAATTACATAATTTGAGACCTGTCGATTCAGGAATCATCATTTCTGTGACATTACTAAGTAATATGGTAATCAGAGAATTTAAAACTTAGTTGAGCACTTGTTTAAGATAAAATTCCATACAACATTTGAATTCAGTTTAAACAGTCAAACTTCATTATTAGTATTTACTTAAAAGATGTATGTCACAACACCTTTTTTTTTTATACACAAGTTGTTTTAAATCAAAAGGATTAAAATCTAATACAATTCAGTCAGTAATGTTTTTTAAAGCAGAGCCAATTACATTTCCTAGAACATGCAGATAATGATTGACAAGAATACTGGTAGTACTCCACACTCTGACCTGAACAATCTCCCCCAACAGACGGTGAAGGCAAGCAGCCAAATACATGGTGATATGACGACATTGATAAGAAGAAACATTGTGGAGATGGTAACCTTCCATGGAGAAGTGTTCCAGGGAATAAAAAGTCAGGAATGTGAACTCCTAAAGTAGGCAATACGTGCCACATAACACTATAAGGAACAAACCAGACAAAGAAGCCAATCAGGATCAGAATGGGAGTACAGGTGGGAGATGGAAGGTAAGGAAATAGGTGTGAAAGCCAAATCACCTTCATGGACAGCATATGTCTTAGGGAGGAAGTACTGGTTGGGATGTAAGATGACATAAGAGGAATGGTAGAGGATGCAGGAAAATATGAATGGCAGAAATACCTGATCAAAGACTACCGCAAGCAAGGAGTAGAAAGAAATAGGCATTGAGGAGGAGATGGTACATGTAACACGTGGACAAAGAGAGGATGGAAAAGGGCACAAAGAACCACATTGAGATCTCAATCAAGCAAATAAAAGGAACATGGAGGATGCATGATTCGAAATGAACGGAAAAAGAGGAAAGTGACGGGGAAGACAAATCTTACGAAACTTAGAGAAACGGAAGGTGCTCAACAAAACCACCCCCACAGCTAGATGCGGTCAAATTGGACAAGTCGTTGTCAAAAAACCAGGTGAAGAATTAGAGAAGATGAGGAACAGAAGGGTGGGAAGGATAGAAACTACATCAAAGAGACCAAAGGCAGAAGGATGACCATCGCCTTTCGTAAATAGACATGGACAAAGGTCTGACAGATCAGGAAAGGAAAGATGCAACACGTGGAGTCAGTTGCTTTAAGATGGATAGTGGTGACATTTGAATGGACAATGTCCAACCTAGACAGAGGTAAGGGTAGGGGAGGTTGTACAAGTAAAGGTCAGAGCAGTGGGAACCATGGTTGCACTGGCTAATGGAGCCACCAGTAGAACTAGACACAGAGTGGTGTGGATTAGGGATAGAACTCTGGAGAGGAGTCGGATAGGAAGGTAAGCATAGACATGAAGACACCATCCAATCTTGACTGAATGTGTCCATCCCCAGAGTCAGCAAATGTGTAATATAAGACCAAAAGGAGAAAGTCTGGCATACCAGTGGGTGGCAAAGGAATATATGAGGTGTCCACACCTGGTAACACACTCACTAGACCTGTAAATTGAGGGACCACTCCTTAGGGATAATCTTGTTGGGACAAGATAATTGACTTGCAACCAGAATCAGAGTGCCAGGAACATGGCAAGTGAAGACAACAATGTGGTGAGTGTAGGCCCAGGATCTGAAATTGGTCCACCTGTGCTTGGTGATATAAGTGGCCATTGTAGAGTTGTTGGAGTGTACCATAACCATCCTTCTCCACATAAGAGGAAGGAAGTGGGACAAAGCTTGATGAACCATCATAAGCTCAAGGATGGTGATATGGAGAGAATTCTCCCGGGAGACGAGGTAAGCACACCAACCCTCTAAAGATGAGTCAGTGAAAAGACATAAATCCAGACCAGGCAGAGGAAGCAGCACCCTTGTCGTGGTCTGGTCTCTGTCTAACCACCAAGATAGGTTGAACCTGATCAGGGAATGAAGGGCAAAAAGGTAGTCCAAGGGATCCAAGTAGAAGTTCCATTGATCCAGGAGTTCCCATGGAAGGGAACATATATGAGCCCATCCCATGGGAGTGGAAGCCTCCAAGGAAGCCCATATTCCCAAAAGAGATAGAACTTCTCGAGTTGTGAGAAAATATGAGGTGAGGGCCTTGTGAACTGCTTACTCATATCCCAAATATGAAGACAAGAAGGCTGGGCCCTATTGAGGTAGGAATGAGTAAAACCCCCAAAGAAATGGGGAATTGAGTGGGGGTAATAATGGACTTCCCCCTTTCATCAGGAATAATACATGTGCTGCTTCTTATAGGAGCATAATAATGTGATCTTTGGATTGTAAACAGGAAGAAGCAAGCAGGAGTCAGTCATCTATGAACAAAGACCCATCAAGTGAAGATGTCGGGAAAGAGTTCAAGCCACCCAACAAAACAGTTAGAGCCAAGGTTAATCCAAACGGTGAAGCCTCGAACTGTAACACTCAACTTCAAGCAGTAAAAAAACTATTGATGATGAGGGCACTGTGGGGATAAACCCCAAATTGTAGATTACAAAAAGAAAATTTGTGTTCTAGTATCAAAAATGTAGGAAAAAGAACCAAATCAAAGTTCAGCCCTATGAACAGGAAAAGATCGAATGCATCGGCAATGTAGCCAAGAAAAAAATAATAATAAATTAAGAGCTACACTGACAAAAATTAGAATTATAAGACAAATATTTAACAATGACAAGAAAAAATTATCCAAATGGAACAATGAATGAGATGTTACTAGTAATGATATGTAACGTACAAACTATCTAGAAATACATAGTGAACAAGGAATTATGAGTATCGAACTGACTAACCATCTAAATTTACATATTCCACAAATTATGGAATAACAAATGTGCAAGCTGACTTAAATTACAGCGAAAACAAAGTAATAATCAATATATAACTTACAATTCATCTACATTAACTTAGATGACAAAGAACACACAAGTAAGGCCAACACTGATGATAATTAGGATTATAAAGCACATATTTAACAATGGCAAGAAAAAAAAAACTATAAGATAGAACAATGAATTAGATGTGTCTAGTAGTAATGATATGTAACATACACCTAGTTAAAGTACTTATTAATATCGAACTGAAAAAACTCTCCAAACATACCTAGTGTACAAAGCACATAATATTAACAACCATACAAAATGACTCAAATTACCTAGAAACACAAAGTAATAATCAATATCTAACTTACAATTTACCTGAAGTAACTTAGACGACAAAGAACACACAAATATCTAACTTACCAAAGTCTGAGCACTGATGATGGGAAATAATTAATACTCCCTTGTGTAAAGAAGGACATAGCCACACAAATGGCATCTGAGCCATGCCTGCCACAGGTATAACCACCATGTGTGAAGTGTATAAATCAAAAAACGTACCACATGTCCAGTGGAAGAATTGGAAGCTAGAGGAAAAAAGGAGAAGAACAAACCTACACCAAATTGAACAAAAAAAGCAGGAAAAAGAAAACTAGTGAAATCACCCACATCTCAAACATGCAGCAAAACCAGAATATGCATCAACCTATGATCTGATTAACAAGCTGTATAGAAAAAATAAAAGGAAGGGAAAAATAAGAAGGTGCAGAAAAGTGTACGGATAGTCTTCTCCTTGATTGTATTCTTTCTCAGAAACAGTCGACCATATGAATGTAGCTTTCTGCAAATTAACGCCTGTACCTCTTCTGCAAATTATATAATGTCAAACCCACTTCTTGGGAAGTTGTAACAGTAGCATTTTCGACTGTAATGGGAATTTCCGTAGTCGATACATTGAATCGTGAATTCATGCTGAGATTGCTAATAATTTGGTAACAAGAAACAAAAGCAACAAAAAAAAATGATTGAAACAATTGAATGCAAACACATTAAATAAAACTGCTGAAAAAAAAACTGAAATTGCAAAGATGCACAATCATAAACGGTATCCACATGCGAAAATACACACATCTAAACAGTGCTGTGTCAATAGAAAAGGTGACAATTGAGTGAGAATAACATAAGTGGTGAAATACTATTGGTGGAGAGTAGTCACATGATATGTATATATTCAAAACTAGCACAAAATTAATGGGGTATATATACTGGTGCATTGAGTGCTTAGTGGGCAAAAAGAAGATTGAGATAACTTTGTGTGAAAGAAGGAAAGACTGTATTGGAAGGATGCATTTTTTCAGAATGATACAATATCGTGTTTTCTGTTATTGAATATTTGATTTACCATGTGTTTTTATTTTACTTCAACTTCTGTAGTTTCTTTTTGGTTATGACATAGTAACATTAACAGTAATCATCCAATTCATCAGTCTTTGAAGAGATTGACTATGCATGTTTTTTTATTTTATACCTACAGAATCTGCTATTCATCCTTAGACATTGCAGTGAAATTCATATCTTAAAATAGTTTTTGAGTTTTTCTGTTGACGTGTTTCACTTAAGAATAATATTTCATAAGAATTTGAAACCCTATCTTGATCTCTCTTTCTGTTCATTGCAAGGCAACATATATTTCATTTCATCTATATTAAAAAAAAATTAATTTTTATTTACTTATTTCTCAGTCACGTTTAAAGTCAAACTTTTCCTGTTTCTTAGGTATACTAAAGAACATAAACTATACCCGTGTCTGGCTGCCATTCCTTGCTCCTCGCGGAGTTCGAGCACCCCTGGTTCCAGGACGGGTCATAGCCCATCGGGAGTTGCATGGTAGGCAAGGGTCAAATCCACTTTGGAAAGGCATGGCCATTTGAGGAATGGTGCGAAAATGTCCACCATTACCCAAATTTGGTGATGATCTTGTACCAGTGGACCCTGATGTGGTGGTAGTTGTGTGTGTGTTATCTCGCTCTGCAGGCCAAATAAACAATTATATAATTTTAAACTCTTGAGGCTTGAAACAAAGATAACACTTAATAATTAGATTTAACACCTAGTGCTCTGCCCACTGCATACAGAATTGTAACCTAACACAAGTACAAAAATTCACATTAATTCAGCACTGTACATGATAACAGAGATAAATAAAGGTAGAGTAAAATGATATTTTGCTTAGTCAGTTGGATAAAACACTGCAGAGTTCTTCGTAAAAGAATCAACACAAAAATCTTTATCTTCTAATTCTCACAAACTGACCATCATTTTCTGCAAATATATGAAAATAAAATATCAAAAGCAGTAAAAAATATGGCATGTGCTTTGAGCACCTAATGTGTCTAAGAAAATGAGCTACAGATTAATATCCAGATTCAAAATAATCTGGTCTCTACAACAGTCAGAATGTGATTACACTTCTTGAAACTGCTTCAGTGTTGCTAATAAATTTTCTCAAAATGGTGAAACCACTGGAGAAATACATGTTTTAAACTACAGTTACTACATAAAAATATTCTCAAGTATATAACAAGCAGTGCAAGACATGATAATAAAAATCTGTTTAAAAAACTCAGTTATTATATTAGATATCAAATTTACTGCCTTGTAAGAAATTATTTGTGAAATTTTATTTTAAAAAATTCTAAAATTTTACAATAGTATTTTGAGAAAATAATGAAGTAATGGTTAAGTTACCTTAATGTATCAAATCCACATAAAGATACCTAAACATTTTCAATAAAACAGATAAAAGTTACATAAACACTGAGATAACAAGGTTCACATTTGTCAGAACTGCCAACAGATCCTACACATTTAAGCTAACAAATATTTGCCAACATTCTAACTTGTATATATTGGTGTCTGTCCGAGCAATTGATTGTCTCCCATTTGAAAATCTGTGCACACAGGCAAGTCTCAACATTCATTTTTGAAATGACGGGAGAACAGACATGAATAATGTTGATGCCAAATTTTATTTCACTAGCAGGATATTCTACACTAAATTGCTAGAAATTAATCACGCTATCATTCACATTTCGAAATGTGACGTAACTTAAAGAATAAAAATGTAGATTTACCATATGTTATTGTTGAACAGCTCTTAGCATGACTAAAATGCTCAACAATCACTTTTCACGGTGGGTGGTATAGGTAACTCAGAGCCCTGGCTCTGAGGGAAACCAGGAGTGCAACACAATTAACCTTGTTAAAGTCTATGAAATCATTTAAATTGATAGATTAACTTGTACTTTTCCTGTCACTGGGGATGGGTACTTTTGCTTGTTTTATATATTTATATACATGTATAGATACAGTAATTAGTATTGACACCAACTTGTTTCCTAAATCTCATATAAAAGCATGAATGTCATTAAATCCTAAAAGCTACACAAATGATAAAGATAGCATAATGTGAAGGAGGAGAGACAATGAAATGGGCAAATTAAAATGTTCAAAAATATTTTACAATAATACCATTTTTAAATAACATATACATACATGAACCTTAAAAACCTTATATTTACCATTCTCATTGGCACTGGTAGTAGTAGTGTTTCTAGTTGCTCTCTCAGGTCCACTGACCACTGCAGCAGAAATACTGTCTATTGTGATGGCATGAGGGCCTACTTCCATGAAAACAACTGGACTTTGAGTAGTCATAAGAGGAGTTCCACTGAAAATACCTGATGTTGGGGCACTGGAAGTTGTTGTAGCAGTACTAGTAGGATTTTGGTTCTAAATTGAGAAGCATAAGACAAACACGTTAAATGCTCAAAAGTTACACAATGCAAGCAGTTTTCAATCCAATCATAAAAGCAACAGCAATATCAATTAATTGTATGGATTTTAACATACTATTTGCAAGCATGTACCAAAAGATAGTCCACTTCCATGGGTTACCATTAAAAATGTCTGAAAGCATGCTCCAATGGAAAGAGCTCTTGCAAATATTATAATTCCATCATTGATAGTATCAACAAAACATCACTTCCATAAAAATATCAAATCTGTTACAATATAATAATAATAATACACTTGGTCATTTTCACTGCTCTTCTCAACAGTAGCATCAATGATCTATTTTTTTAGAAACTTTATTCTTTCATGGTTTAAAGACAAGTGAAAAAAAGAACCTAACAAGAATATAACATTGTGGTTAATTGGTCAATACAATCTCTAAATTAAATAATAAGTTGAACAATTGCCAAGTTTTTATATATTTTTATTTAAAGAAGGATGATATTTCAAGGTAGTGTTCTTCATCAGATCGTACAGTTCACAACAGTTTACAGTTTATGGTTGTAAACTGTACAATCTGACGAAGAGCACTAGCTTGAAATGTCATCCTTCTTTAAATACAAATATATAAAAACTTAGCGATTGTTCAACCTACTATCTAATTTTGATATTTTCATCCTCTATTCGGTTTTAACTATATTTGTCTTTTAAATAAGGAGCAGTGACATCAGGATTTTTGCAGCTAAAAACAGTTAAAATTACATAGCATTGTAGTTTATTTTTATAAAATAATAGCTCTAAATGAAATATATAATGTACAATCAAAAACATTAAAAAAAATTCAAATGACTAAAAATTACAAATCTAAAAAAAAACTGAAAATATAGTACCAAAAAAATGTGAACTAATTGCATATTTAATGATTTACCATGGTAAGCTGTTATATTTGGCATTTCAAATGTGATTTTATAACATTCAGATTAATTAAAAGCTATTAACTTTATTACCCATTAACCATTTTCCTCAACTACTAATGTATTATCTTTAACATCAACAAAGAGTGCAATTTATGAAAGTGTCCAAAGCAGTTTCTAACCAAAAATTTGACCACATAGGCCAATAAGAATAGAAAAAGGTTATCTTTAGCATTTCCACAGTTATTTTACAAACTGTTGAACTTAATGACAAATCACTGTTTAGAAACCTTTTAAATCAGAAAGCAAGGAACTTTCCCACTCAAATTCTGAGAACTTAGATCTGTACGTTATAAAGCAAAATAATACAATTCAGCTATTATGAATTTAATACCAGTACATACAATTATATTTGCACCTTTCTACACCAAAGTCCAAAAATGACACTTGGGAGCTTCTTATAACAGTTATTCTGATAATATTAGTGCTCAGTGTGTAGAGATGGCTTGAGGAAAAAAAATGGCTGCCACATTCAATCTACTTTGCCAACCAGGTCAGTTATCATCATTTAGTCTGATAATATATTTATAAGTCTGTTTACAAGTAACACTAACACTTAAAAGTTTGAGAAAACTTCAAACATCAACCAAAGATTAAAGAATTGTAGCTCCATTTATTTTGTAATTTTCTTCTAATCTGTGAAAATGCAGAAAACCTATCTTTTGCTTTATATTAAAATGATGTTTCATGTTTGAAAAATTTGATGGGGCTTTTAATATCGTTTTATTTACTGTTTTCTTCTAGTTGCAGTTTCTAAAAGGCCTGAACATTATAGAGGAGAGTTATACAGCAAGTAACAAACTGACACAGAAAGTAGTTTGACACAACTATATACAAAAAAAAAATCTTTATTCTTTCATGGTTAAACACAAATGGAAAACAATCTGATAAGAATATAGCAAGTTTGGGCTAAACTATCAATCATATCTCTAAAACATGTTTTGTGGTTTTTATATTGCTATTTGAGATTATTATTCTAAAAAAATGGCCTAAATTTTGTCCCCATTAGAAAACATGTAAATTAGTTCAATACAAAACACCAGGTCAAACGTTTTTTGCTGTTTATGTTTTCAAGTGCATTTCTACACCATTTACTAACACCAGTAAATCATTTCTTTGTCAGCTACAGAAATAAACCAACACATGGACACCCCCACCTGGAAAATTTCTTCCTCTTGATTACTACGTATAGAAGTGTCAAAAGGAAATTCACAACTTGGATTTTACAACTGAGACATCTGTTAAAAACCTCACTAAAAATGAAGAAACAGCTTTATGTAATCTTCATTCCCATGACAACATTGCTATTAAACAAGCTGACAATGGAGGAGCAATGAATGAACTTTATCTTCAGAAAGCTCACCGACAACTATCAGACCAATTGTCTTATGCTATCTATGATATCAACCCCCTTGATGAATATCAACAGACTGTCCATACCACTATAAAAAGTAATGAACTTCCATTAGAAGCTAAGAATTTAAATGTCAAATACCCTAGGCTTCCTGTATTGTATCATCTTCTTAAGTTACATAAGTCATACCATCTGGATAGACCCATAATTTCCACATACACTTGTCCTACTGAACTTTTCTATAGTTACCTTGATTCCATCCTAACTCCCTTAGTACATCAACTCCCGACTTACATTCAAGACACCAACAATGCCTTACAAAAAATTGCTAATTTTAAATCACAATCAGATTGTATTACAAACCGACAAACACACATAACTACTTACATTTTCACTCAAGTCATCCTCCATACATCAAGAGAAACATTCCCAAATACCAACTAACCAGATTAAGTAGGCTCTGTAGTAACAACCACGATTATAATAGCAAATCTATCAACATGTTCCACTTTTTCAAAAAACATAGCTACCCTACTTCATCACACTATAGATAATCTACATACTAACAATAAACGTTCAAATTCAGCTTTCCAGAGATTGATTAACTTAAATCATGTCAGTAATGATAACACCAACACCCTAGACAATTTAAAACTACCAACTACATGCATCTAACCTTACTTCAATCAACACACTTCTACTTCCACTGGTCATCAATAAATTCCACTTACACTTATGTTCCCCCATTAAACACACAAATAACACGTATTTTGTTGGAACACTTTCACATCATAACACAGGACAATACCATCAGTCATATGTTCCCTAACAAACTTTTAATTTCTTATAAACAAGACACTAACATTAAAGATTTACTCGTCCACAGTCAACTTCCAAACAACATACAATTATCATCTGATACCCAGGATGGTGTGTACAGTTGTCAGAGGAGCTCATATAATATTTGCCCTTACATTGATCATAGAACATCTTTTAGAGGCCCTAAATCAACATATTCTGTGAATAACGATTTCAACTGTACATTCAAATGTGTAATTTATTGTATTATCTGTAGCAACTGTGACGTAGGAAAAACCAGCCAGATGCTCACTGAACGCACGAGAACACTTACACAGCATCTTCAAATAGTTTCAATAAAATGTTTATAATGAGCCGTCTAATACCACAGACTAAAATACAGATCACACATAACATATCACTATTTTGATCAAGGGTGATCGACAAAACAATCAAAGCATTGTGCATACACTTAGCAACAAGATCACCAGAGGTTATAGTTACTGTGCTGTTATGAAATAAAAATCTGCAACACAATACTACATTCAATAAAGGAAATAATATTGTATTATTTTACATTCTTTTTAAGTTTCCTGTGACATGGAAATATAGCAGGCATCGTGTCATTTATTGACATGGGCTGTAAAAAGCAAAATGATATTTACACAGGCACTTGTACGTGTCAGTGCAATGGTACCCATCAAAAAAGAAACACTGTTAAAACCAGGCATAACACTGATTTCCAAGCTAAGCAAAGGAAATAAAAAAAAAAAAGATCTCTATTCTAAATGTAAAGTCTTGAATTTCACTGCATATTCATTAATATCAGTCCTGACATTGATCATCAGGCTTTAATACCAAAAGAACTTTCAATACTGAATGAAGAAAGTATTAAAACCATTTTTATCACTACAGTACTAAAAAACCTCTTACAAATTCTCTGATAACTTTGTAACAAAAAAAAACAAACTTGGATAGCAACATCAGCCAGTCAAGTAGTTTCCAACAAACATATTAGAATAGTTTAATTCACAAAATAAACAAATTATAAGCACCTGTTCTACTCCTGTGGTTGTGCTAGATGAAGTGGAAGTTGTAGTAGCCGTCTCAGTTGTTGTTCGCTGGGAATCTGTTGTTGGTCTACCAATACCAACATTGACTTGAGCCTGAGAAAAGAACAACCAATTTATCAGAAACTATACCTTTATTCATTTGTTATTTCAGTTTGTTGACACCACATAGTACTTTTTTTTTTATTTAAATCATTTTATTTAACCTTCAAAGGTATTATAAAAATGTTAGAAATTATATATGGTCAGAAAATTTAATGCAAAACACAACAGTGCATAGGACACAATAGCGCATAGGTAACTCTTTTCAATTAAATAATAAATTATAAGCTCATTATTTGTTATATTATTATATTTTGTACTAAAAGGGTCAGGGCACATAGAGTAAGCAATTACTAAGTGAAAAATTGCATAGTCCCACCATGTAGAGAAATGGTTATTCCAAATAATGAGATTATCTATGCATACATGTTAGCAAAACTTACCACACTACTTGTAAGCAAGACCAACCACGATCAGTCTGGAAGAATACATATAAACTGTTCAAACAGGTTAAGTTAACCAACTACGATCAGTCTGGAAGAATACATATAAGCTGTTCAAACAGGTTAAGTTAACCAACTACAACCAGTCTGGAAGAATACATACAAACTGTTCAAACAGGTTAAGTTAACCAACTACGATCAG